TTATAGAATTAAGTAAGGCACGAATGCTGATAAGCAAAATGCCATACAAAAACTTAGTAACTTGAAGTTGACAGGTGCAACTAGAATAATATAAAAAGGAAATTATGACATAATATTTTCAACTTAGTTTGAAAGGACTTTTCGATTTCATGTCGCGTAAAAAATCCATAGGCCTCATTTTGTTTCGCTATAACTATAACAGGCAGAACCTTAAGGCTTAAATGTTTTGTGGATAAGCAGGTAAGTCTAATCATTATGTACTATATATATGAAATGTTTAACTTTAAGGTAACTAAATAGAAGTAGAATATAATTTCCTAAAACTACCAATTCATTCATCTGCACATTTGAGTTATTGTAGCGATTGGCATTTTGAGAAAATATATAACTGCTACAAGTTGTAGTACAACAAACGTATTGATGACTATAGTTTGTATACGACAGTCAAGCATTTGATTGGCACTGTCCAATAGAAATGTATAAACTTTCAATAACCCTGATAAAATGTAATTAACAGTTCAACGATACAAATAAACTTGGATAATTTCAGCCAAAAACATCATTCATCCAAATGAATTAGATGAACCCTAAATCCATGCTTACAGTCAGCGTTAACCTGTTATGTATGTTACAAATCAGAGGCGAGGAATCGGCGGCGGGCACTTACCCACCCCTTCCAACTTTTGAGCCGCAGCTAAGTGCCTCATTAAACAGGGGAAGAGAAACTGATGTATAATTATCAGGGAACGCCGCTGTTTGAACTTTGAACTCAGTGACCACGATTAACACAGCAGACAAGATTCACTCATTTGTTCTGGCGCCTATGTTACAAACAACTTAAGTACACATTGTACGCTGCCCTAAGTAAATATATACGTTAAAGTTCTTGTAAGCTAAGCCTAAATAACTGTTAGACGATGAGAAAGTCATTGCAGCATTGGAAGTTCTCTTGTTAAATCAAGCAGTTTTTCAACACAAATATTAACTTTGTGTACGTTACTACAAGTAACATCTCCCTAACATATTTTACTTAAAATCTTTCAACAAAACATGACTTTATCTTTGATAATTCACGTTATAGAAAAAAAAAGTTAATAAAAGTTTGGTGTAGGATATTTTAATTCCTTTCTGGCCTTAAAAGTTCTATGTACTTTTAACTTTATGTTGGACCTTCTACATTAGGTAGGGCGAGGAAATGCGTTGAGCAATGAACGATTAAACTCTACATGGCGAGCTTCTTACATATTGGCCTTTGAAATAAGATGAAGGTGGCAATTTATTATTATCATTTGCTTTTAATACATTAGGAATATGAAATACAATAACGTAAGACGATTGTGAAATGTATAATTGTATCAGGTTCAAACTAACATTGTTTTTTTCTCTCGGCTATGATGCCTGTTAACAAAAAAATACACCATCGGCTTCATTTTAATGATTTTAAAACCAAACTGAAACACTAATATTTTAGCATTAGTTCCCTAGGCATTTGAAAAGTTATCGCTTCCAGCACCAGAAGAAGTAATTTGATCTGGATACTTGGCTAACGTGTCGAGTGCATACTGTTGCAAGGATATTTTGATTGTTGGTTTATGCTGTGAACATATTCCCCTTAGTATAAAAGGTGATGTTGTCCACTCCCAACATGGTATAATTAATAATAATGGGACAATATATTTATTAGTGATTGTAGTTTTTCACACATCAGTAGTAACATTTCCTGTTATAACTAAGTAGCTATGTAATAAGCATTACACAATTATATTTTCTTGTTGGCGTTGTTTTAAGCACAAAGCTACCATAATGGTCTATATGCACTCTATCAACAATGAGGAATCGAACCCGGGATTGTAGTGTTATTAGTCTGTAAACCTACCATTCGCCCAGCTAGGAACTCAATTATGTTAATCAGCCTCTTGTATAAACATAAATTATTTGGTTTGGTTTGGGTTGTTGTTAAGCACAAAGCTACACAGTGGGCTGTATGTGCTGTGCCCACCACAGGTATTGAAACTCAGTTTTTAGCGCTATAAGCCTTCAGACTTGCCGCTGAAACACTGGGGACAATATAAATTATGTACTTTATTAACACATGTTGTATGTAATTAGTATTTAAACGTGGCTCATTACATACATAGTGTCTTTTGCCAGCAAATTAAACTGTTATTAGCTCTTCGGTGGCTCAACGGTAAGTATTATGGCTTATGATGCTAAAATTTTGTAGTTCAATACCTGCAGTGGGCATAGCGCAGATAATCCAGTGTGTAGCTTAAACACAAACAAACAAACTGTATTAACTATTTCGTCTTTATAAAAAAAAATTGTGAACTTTTAAACACGTGCGTCTTACGTTAATGAAAATGGAGAAATATAATTAAAAATTTATGAAATCTGTCTGGTTTTATGGGCATACTCGAAACCTAATACACAAAACTACTAGCCATGTCTATGTACGTAAGCTACCCCTTGTTCACTTGCTTTAAAATGGATAAGTTAAATTAGATAAATTTATACAGTTTCATTACTGAAATTGTTTGCATTGTCTCAGGAAACATAAAAAGAAAGACTTTTCACTTATGTGTACATATATGCAAAGTTTTTTCTAAGAACACTTTTTACGTGAGCATTGATGGATAAGATGGGTTGTTTGTTTGAAGTTAAGCACAAAAGCTAAACAATGGGCTACCTGTGCTCTGCCCACCACGGGTATCGAAACCCGGTTTCTAGCGTTGTAAGTCCGCAGACATGTTGGTCTAAAATATTACAACAAGTAAATGCAGTAAGTCTATCATTACAATACCTAAAGTTGAATATTTTGAAGGGAGAAACATTATTAAAGTCATTGAAAGAATTCATCTTTGAATTAAAAAATTATTTTGATTCAATTGAAAATGATTGTTTGTTTGTTTTGAATTTCGCGCAAAGCTACACGAGGGCTATCTGCGCTAGCCGTCCCTAATTTAGCAGTATAAGACTAGGGGGAAGGCAACTAGTCATCACCACCCACCGCCAACTCTCGGGCTACTTTTTTACCAACGAATAGTGGGATTGACCATCACATTATAACGCCCCCACGGCTGAAAGGGCGAGCATGTTTGGTGTGACGGGGATTCCCTGAATCATGTATCAATATCCCATTGGTTTCAAGTGTTTTTGTATTAAGATGAAGTGCATTTTGCATTTATTAAGTTTCACATTAATCTTCAGAGCATGCTACTTCTGGCTGCCTGATGCTGGAGGGAGGGAGTGATAAATCTGTTGAGAATTGAGAATTAATTCAACAATGGTAATACTCTGTATCGTAGTTCATCCACAGAATTTGCAGAACTTAATACAGTAAGAATTTTTATTTTTCTTATAACAATTTCACATTGCAGTTCCAAGGTTAAGTCCCAATTGGATAAAATATGTGCTAATAAAGTTCGTAATTTATGTCATACCAGAGATTGATTAATACACTTGTGTAATGCGCTACAGTACAATCCCCAACTGCTTATGAAGTACTCATTTAGTTATTGCGGGAAATGCTACTATTGATGTGTTACACTTTCCAGTTACTAATCAGTAATCAGCACAATAACAAACGCATCATATTGAAAATGGTCAATATCGTCACTAAGGTATGCACGTGACATGTTGGCCAGAACCTGCACTATTTGTAGATGCATGGCTTCTCAAGAGGACGTTATTTGTCTTTTGCAACTTGCTAGTTTGATATTGGCTTGCATGTAAGAATCAGGATCAGATGAACATCTTAGTTTCAGAAATAAGTTCATGGGAGATTACATGTATAAAACTCCAGCTTAGATTTTAATAAATTGAATAATTTTTAACGCCAATTTCATAAATGGTCCTTGATTGACTGCATAGTTAAGCCAACTTTCTAGTAAAGACTCAATTGTTTCAGTATATAGTCAGCAAACGACACAGGATGGAGATAGGAAATGTCATTAAACACATTAATGACATTTAAATAATTTAATTTAGCCGCCAGCTAATTTGAAAATTAAGGCCCTGATTGGCCACGATGCTCAATTAGCTTGCGGGTTTATAATCAATTGCACAATTGTAAATTATGATTTCATAAATAGTCTTCTGATTGACTATAGTACTTGCATGCTGGCGTTAAAGGCAGAACCATGGTTAACTATACAATTAGCACGTTGGCCACATATGTAGTTCCTTAGTTGCTTGACCTGAACATGTGCAAATGCTGTTTTCAGTATCTACCTCATCATTTAATGCCCTTTTAAAACTCCAATTTAATTATAAACTTCTTCGACTGTCTGTTTTTCTACGATCATCTCAGAGACAATGTCACGATATACAGCAATTTATTTGCTCATTCAGTGTTTTCAAGTAGTTTTATACAGTCAGATTAAGAAAACTTCTGAATAACTGCAACATAGTTACGAATTCAGATTTTTCCGTTGTAGCAGCAGATGCTAGAAAGTTGAATTTTACGACTAGGCCCGTGATTTGCTCAATGTTAAATATTGAATTACATTTTATTTTGAATATCAGTTCAGTTTTGTTTAGAATGATTCTAATTGGTTAAATTTGTTGAAACGTCAAGAGGCATCATATATGAAGAATGTTTTCTAATTAATTAAGAGTTCCTCCTTAAGGTGTCAGAAGGCATCATTCCTTAGGAATGCTTTATAATTGATTTATAGTTCCTCCTTTAAGCATCATTAAGCGTTACATGTGAAGAACGCTTTGTTATTGGTTGGTAGTTCCTCCTTAAGGTGTCAGAAGGCATCATTCTCGAGAAATGCTTTCTAATTTGTTGAAATTTCCTCTTTAACGTGTCAGAAGGCATCAGTCCTTAGGAATGTTTTCTAATTACTCTTTAAAACATCAATAAGCATCACATGTCAGAGAAATATTTTTTAATTGGATGACAGTTCTGCTTTAAGGTGTCAGGAAGCATCATGTCTTTTACCCTCAGGTCAAAGCTGCGTGACCTATTTCACATTTTATTTTATAGTTTATCGGTAATTTAGGTTTAAAATAATTTTAAGAATTTGAACCGCTTTTAGGATCGTTAAATTTTGAAAGAATATGTTATGAGCCAGTTGGGCAGTTTAAATAATTTGATCCAATATTTGTTTTATGAAAAACACATCAACAAAAATATAATGGAAAAAAAACCTTTAAAGTGCTGATTTGTTTTTATTAATGTTACAAACTTCGGTGATTTGTTAAATGAAAAAAGATATAAAGTAAAGTATGTTTGAGATCTCCAAATGATGCACTCTGACTTTCACTCGTATAACTCACGAGTTATAAAACTAACATTCATGCACTATGTCTGATATGAATTAATGTTCTCAACGTTATTTTTCATACGACACTGTCAAAACTTATATTGTTATATCGTTAACACAAAATAAATGTCTGTATCAAACATCGCTTTCTTAGAATGGGGGAGATTTTGGGATTGGAATTATACCATAACAGTAGATACGTACAAAACTTCCAATTAAAATAGATGGCCTTAGTGTTTTAGGATACAATGATACCATTATTCCTTGGCTAGAAACATACAAAGTAGAATATTGTAACAAACTCGTGTGGAATACGGATATGAATCTGAGGCTCACAGCAGAAGAATGGCACTTAGGAAATCACAGCTGCAACCCAAAATTCACTTAAGGCCTAAGTCTTCAAAACACCTCGACCACTCTAAAGAAAGCGATGTAACCACAACATCTGGCTCGCAATTGGTCTACGTATACACAAGCTTCAGTAACGTAGCTCATCAAATCTGCACACTCACATAACAAGACGTACGTGATTCCCCGATCCGGAATCCTCCTCTTGTGAAATGTGATCCTCCGCAACCCAAGATTCTTCGGTAGGCTCTTGTACAGGTGTCTTGCCCCTGTCCAGGTCAGCCAGTTCTGCTCCAATTTCTCCCGATCTTCTCCTGGAAGTACCCTAAAAGCTGAGATAATGTATCCAGTTCTATCCGTTGTTGGTGTCTTGGGTAACATGTCCAACGGCAGTCTTGCAATTGTTGCAACCTCTTCATAAACAGCTAAAAGTACAAGAAAACGTTTTATAGACTGCAAAATAAGATAACACATCCTTAGTGTATTTTATACCTTATCTGTCTTTAAATATATTGTGTGCACGAGAACATCCGCATGACTCTGTGAGCAAAATTAGTGGAAAAGTGTAAAAGTAATATTGATCATTCAGACATTTTTACAAGGAAGAAACAGAACACCTGTGGGTTCCCACAACTCAGATCTTCAATCATTAGAACAAAATACGTGAAACACGCTGAGACTCAAATATGGTCTAATGTGAATCCATTCACAGCGCAATTCATGCACGTTCAGACGAGTGTGGTTAATGGCCGTGCAGATCGAAGAGTCCTCAGATGGAAGAAAGCTTTTCCTGTTTGGTTAATCACCCCGCATTAACCATACTTGCTGAAACTGACACTAAGGTTATAAATCAGGTGTCAGCCTCCTTTATTCTGTAAATTTCTTTAGATTGTGACGAACAACAACAGAGTAGAACGCCGACTTTTCGTCGTCCGTCTATAACTTTGAACTCTACTCAATCATATTTAACAAGTAACACTTATAATAAAATGAGTACACTCAATGACCATCTTTATGTGCAATAGAATCAGTGGTTCTTAACTCTTTTGGACTTACATGAATGCTTAAATCACTGCAGAAGCATGTTACGTGTAAACTTTAATTGAATGATGTAACAAAATACTAGAAGCACTTCCGTGTACTAAAGTTGCGCATATATTGTATGATTAAATTTTACAAACCACAAAACCAGTAAAATCATATATAAAAATCTGTTCAGATGTAAACCAAGAAAATCACTTAAATCGTGCGAATAATTACACATTTAAGGTATATACTTGTAATATACTTTCCAAGCGACAGCTGAATGTTACATGATCAAGTTCTACATACAAATTCTCAAAACCTCCTATAATTGTGGTATTAATAGCTTATCTCTTCGTTTAGTTTTGCCTGTGGATAGCTAACTCTACAAATAGCAAGAGAAAATCCTTATACATTTGAGATATTTACATTAATAATGTTATCACTAACATCAAGGAACTCCAAGTTGAAAATGTATGAATTCTACATATTCTGTTCCTTTCAGTTGCGCATTGGCAAACAAACTAGACAATATAAAGTATTAGAAAAAGAGTTCACCTGAGTTCTACATTAATAAGGTGAATTTGAAATGTCTTGGCTTTTAATTTTCTATTCTTATAGTATTGAATCCCAGTCTCCGAACATGCTTGCCCTTTCAGCCATGCGGTCGTTATAATGTTACAGTCAATACCATTATTCGTCGGTAAAATGTTAGCCCAAGATTTGGCGGTGGGTGGTGTTGACTAGCTACCTTCCCTCTGGTCTATTATAGCTAAATTACGGACAGCTAGCGCAGATAGCCCTCTAAAAATCCTATAATACTAAGGAAATATTAATTTTTTTTATATCTTTTGCAGACTTTGTTTTCTATTTTGCTCTTTTCTGTCTCTCAAATTTTCATTGTCCCTGTGATGTATAGGTTAACGTTGTTGGTCACTGGAATTTCAAACTGGTGCTAATTACATTAAAGTTTATGTTAAACTACACAAAGTAAATTCATGTTAGGGCGCTCGACTCGCAATCTGTTGGTCGCGGGTTCGAATTCCCGTCCCACCAAACATGCTCGCCCTTTCAGTCGTGGGGGCGTTACGACATGATGGTCAATCCCACTATCCATTGGTAAAAGAATAGCCCAAGAGTTGGCGGTGAGTCTTACACTGCTAAAGTAGGGACGGCTAACGCAGATAGCCATCGTGTAGTTTTGCGCGAAATTCGCAACAAACTAAACCAAACAACAAATTTAATTTTAACACTGTCGTATAATATACAGATTAGTATGTCCAGAAGGGGCTTGATAATGTTGAATTTCTAATTATAGTATTTATCTGCAAAGATCCTGATAATACTGCTTCTTTGTTTATAACACATACTAATTATCGATTTTCTTCTTTATTCCTCCCTCTGTATGTATCTATGATAATCGTTAAAATATTCCGTTTAGTACTGAATGTATGTGTATGCACGTGTATATAATATCAACTTTAAACAGGGTGATTATGATGAAAACCCCATACTTAATAAAATTATTACATTTTGAAAACTACTTAATCTAAAGGGAGAAAATATCATCAATTGCATATTGAGAATTGTATATTTTATCCAGGAAAGTGTGAACATGGTAAAAGCTGTAAAAGAATATGTTCAATGTGTGCTCAGTCATTCTCGATAAAGCTGTGGGGATTCCTGCATTTATGATTTGAACCCGGCAAAACTTTCACAAAAGCGATTGCTCTACTAACTGAACTAAAGGGTTAACCCATTAGCATTTCCCAGTGAAGCATTTTGCTAACAACTCGAACTACAATAGTTTTTCCCACTCACAAAAAAAAAGGCCCATTCTTTGGCCTTATCCACGCCCCACGTTGGCTACCACTTTTTCTTATGGTAATTTTCTTAGATCGATATCGAATCTGAGACTTCCCGTGCACCACACAAGTTCTCTACCAAATGACCTAAAGGGTGTTTCCCACTAGAAATTGCTAGTGAGGCATTTTATATTTAAAACGACACAAACTACCATAAAGCTACTGCAGGCATCTTCTGTACTAGACATTGTTCACTGAATCTTGAAATATTCTACACGTTAACACACATTTAATTAGAATTGCCTATCTCGTACTGCTGAAAGAAAAGAATGAAATCAAAGCAGTGTTAGTGTGCGAGAAAGGTTGTTTAGGTATGGTACGCTTTCTGCCGTGTCCAAACTTTCCTGAATAAAGCCTATGGTTCTCATTGTGACTCTCTGTAGAAATTTAATTTATTTGTGTAGAACAAGCAAAATTTAAGATACACTAATACGGAAGTGATAGATTAGAGGAAAAACAGCTAGTAAACACAACCCTTAGGCTACTTTTGTCACTCTCATGCCATACGCTCATTTGTGTGTGTGTGGTGGGGGGGAGGGGGGGAGTATCCGGGCGCGAAGCACGGAACCTGAGATCTACATTCTGCAAACAGACCATTGGGCCGCGTATGGACCTCATTTTAAATTTTGAGTTTTTTTTTTCCTTTCTAAATTTGTCGATATACACATATACTAAGACATAATAACATTTGCTTTGTAGACTCCTAATATCAGGACGTGCACCTACCAAAACCTTTTTAAAACAGGTTAAATGCATCAGAATTATCTGATGATGCCAAAATGCCAGTCAGACGACAATTATTGCATTCAATCTTTTAATAAGACTAGCTTTTGTCTGCTCTACAATGGCGATTATATACATTAAACAAGAACAACATAATTTGCTTTTGAAATCGAAACGTTATGTCTCGTTTTTACTCGATTATTTACAATACTAATACGACTAGCACAGTTCAATCAAGTCCTAATTTATTAACATCAACACTTCTATGTATGTTTTGTATTCTTCAGTCGTCATTAAAGCTCATTCAATTCACCCAGCTAGTATGTTTGTTTCCGGATTTCTGGAGCTGGAGGTAACTGACATTCTACGTGCCACAGTTACAAACTGTACACAATCCGTGCAGCGCATGCGTAGAACACTAGCTTTGTTTTTAACTTAACGAAATTATCAAACGAGAGCGCAACATCAAACGCTCATTATTATCTCATCTCTTTGTCAGACCACGTGCTGTTTAAACAGCAGGACATTCTAGATCAGTATTTTGTCCACGTAATACGCAACCATTAAGTTATTATTTCCTTTAATAAATGTCTTTTGTGTGTGTGTTGTACTACCTTTCTAATAAATAACTCAGACGCAAGGCAAAGTTGCATAGTAACGCTAATAGGGAAGACTGAACAAACGAACTAAACCTTGACTATGTGAAGGCGACGATTATTTGTGATATGTTAAATTTCTATCCATTACTGAAATGTAGGAAAAACTGCTATCAGGTGCAGGAAATACATTGTTCTTCCTTCCTGTTGTAGTTTCCAGCGGAAGGGAGATATGGATTGAGACTGAAGCCGATCCGATATGTTGCTATGACAACCATCCACGTGTTACGAATGGTTAAATCATCCGAGAGTATGCCATAAGTTTTTATGTCTGTTTCTTCGCAAACCAGAATCACAGAGTACATTGTTTTTATAGTAATAAGCCTCATACGCTTGTTCCATCTTCTTTTACGTGTTTTTACCACGCATGTTTTTATCGTCATAATATACACCACGTAAATTTACTTGTGTTATTCGTTTTTAATCCTGATTGCTCAAGTTTGCATAAACGTGAATCATGTTATCTCAAATAACGCAAGTGATTTATTTTCGTAATACGTAGACTTCAAAGACGAAAAAGCATAAATGAATTGAAAAATAGGCCTAGCACTATCGTTTTGACAGTGCGTAGGTTGGGTGGGAGATGTTAGTTGAAAGTTTGCATTTTTGTTGAATATATATTTAACATAGAAGCTTGTTTAACGTTATTAATTCTAGAAAATCAAATTAGAGTTTTGTCAGGTGGTGGAAATGCCCCTAGTCAAGTTAAGAGTTAAGTAACTGAATATCTCTCAGCCTGGCTAAACACGTCGTTATGCTTCGCTTTGGATATCTTTGGAGTACGCCCAGAATACACACCACAATTCATATTAAAGTGACGATATGGAAATATAGCAATGTTTGAGACCACGCTCTGCGCTACAGTGTTTAGTTCTCATTGAATTAAAAAAGACAGTAATATCAATTGTTAGATATTCCATTTCAATGTACGAGTTGTCTTAAAAAATATTGAAAAAGTGATTCGGGCTTGGTTTATTTATATTACCCACTCATCATAGTACAAAAATAATAAATCAAAGCAGGTACGTTTATCTGTTTATACGTGTTAACGACAAACACGTGAACATGGTAATAATAATGTTAACAATAGCGACAAAAAAAAAATTCTGCGAATAAATTGTTTGTGTGTTTGCGCTAGCCGTCCCTAATTTAGCAGTG